TACAGGCTTGAGCCAATGCGCCCGGCCAAGCCTATACTTTTATTACATACTTAGCTTCTCTCTACCTCTTTCTTACTCTCTTTCTCTTTTATGTTTTCTTGTCCCTCTATTTCTTATTCTTTGCCCTTTCTGCATCTCTTTCTTCCTTTTCACCATATGCTCTAAGGGGGCTAAGAAAATGAACAAAAATTATTTTTTAATCTTTGCTCTAATCTGCTCATTCACAGATATAATGTATCATTTTTTAGTTGAGTCTGTTGAGTAGTAGTTCCTGACATTTTGACGATTGTCGTTTCACTAAAGAACACAACACTATTGGGCATTTCTCCAGAAAAATGTGTGTGTTCTCTAAGCATAGAACTTGCCATAAAATGATGCACATAAATGATATCAAAAGATCATAAGGGTTTAGATTGAACTGATTTAGAATCACAAGATACATCATATATTGGATCCATTTTTTTATCCTGACTTTGTGGAAATTTCTTTTCTGCTTACCTCTACTTATTTACCTGATATTTGATACATTAATTTAGAATATCTTTCTGGTTCCTTTCAGGTTTGGTTATCTAAAATTTTTTATACATTAGCCCCAATACATATGACTTCTCTGTGGCCCTCTTTATTTCATGATGGTAAAGGTATGTCTTCAGTTAAGGAATTTTGCCATAGGATTATCCATTGGAACCTTAAGATTTGGACTCCTGGACTGTGAAATGCTGACTGGCATTTTGTTCTCACGAATTTGGGCACTCACTAAAACGAAGAAATTTAGTGTCATCATCTTAACATACTTAAAATGTCCTCATCCCTGTAGGCTCATTCACATGACTAGCATTGCTCAAGGTGTCATTTTCTGGAATTAACTTCAATATCACACATGAAGTAAACCCTCGTCTTGATAGACTTCCCTACGTAAAAGTCAGTGATTTTGACTCACTTGATGAAATCTCATTCACACAACTGTATAAGACTTGCTTTTCTTCAACTTGCAAGGACAGTTAGAATCTAGAGTGAAGCTCTTAAAAAATTTAAAAAAAAAAAAAAAAAGGAAATCAAATTGGGCCACCTGTAGCTATGTGAATCTTCCTTACTCTGAGACATTACCAGATCTCTATTTTTATTTAGCTCCAGAAATTACTGTCTGGTAAACTTGGGCAACTTACTCAACCTTCTATGACTCAGTTTATTCTTCTACAAATTGGGAATAACATTATCATAGTATCTACTACAGATGATTGTTAAGAGAATTAAATAAATGGGTATAAAGGGCTTAGAAAGGTGTCTTTCTAGCTCACAGTGAGTGAAAAAATGCTTATTAGTTGTCCTTATTGTTTGTTTGTGTAAATGTACTGATTTTAACTGCATCTGAGCCAAAGAATAATATGAGGAATGGTGAGGAGGAAGAAGTAGAAGAGGGGTTCGGGACTGCTCATACTTTTCAAGTGCTCTCAGATCTTCTTGTGCACCCATGCAGTAATCTGATTTACTTTCCTGTCTTTAGGTACATGTTTATCCCTACCTTTTAGTTTTAGAGTTATATATCCAACTTCCTTTAAGACATCGTCAATCAGTTGGAGCATAGGTTCTGATACAGTTTGACTATACATCTCCACCAAATCTCATGTTGAATTTTGATCCCCAGTGTTGAAATTGGGGCCTGGTGGGAGGTATGTGGGTAATGGGTGCAGATTCCTCATGGCATGGTGCTGTTCTGGTGGTAGTAAGTTCTGATGAGATCAAGCACCTCCCCTCCCACTCTCTTGCCCCTGCCTTCGCCATGTGACAGGTTTGCTCCTGATCCACCTTCCACCATGAGCAAAAGCTCCCTGTGGCCTCCACAGAAACCAAGCAGAGGCCAGGACCGTACTTGTACAGCCTATAGAACTGTGAGCCCATTAAACCTCTTTTTAAAACAAATTACCCCGTCTTGGTTATTTCTTTACAGCAATGCAAGAATGGCCTAACAAAGCCTCCTCAATAGTACAAATACTATTATTATTATATTATTATAATATAATATATTATATATTTCAAGTGGAATAATAGTATTATTCCACTTGAAAAAACTTGATATTCTTTCTATAATTCGCTTAATTCCCTGTATCATTTAATAGCACTAGTATTCACCTGTCCTTTCTATTATTTACTAAGACATCAATTCTACTTGATAAGTCTACATGAATTTATCATTTCTTCTTCTTTTGCTGGGATGGTTGCTTTAGATTCTTGTTTCCCCAGCTTTAGACTATTGACCCTGTAAAACATATTGACACTGATTGCTACTGAATCATTTATTTCACATATGAAGTTTGTCATTTTGCATCCCTAATTAAAGCCAATTATTTTATTCCTTCAGATGTGGCCTTTCACAGTACAGAGCTTGGACACTTTCCTTCTTCTTTTTTTTTTTTTTTTTTTGAGACGGCGTTTCGCTCTTGTTACCCAGGCTGGAGTGCAATGGCGCGATCTCGGCTCACCGCAACCTCCGCCTCCTGGGTTCAAGCAATTCTCCCGCCTCAGCCTCCAGAGTAGCTGGGATTACAGGCACGCGCCACCATGTCCAGCTAACTTTTTTTGTGTTTTTAGTAGAGACAGGGTTTCACCATGTTGACCAGGATGGTCTCGATCTTCTGACCTCGTGATCCATCCGCCTCGGCCTCCCAAAGTGCTGGGATTACAGGCTTGAGCCACCGCGCCCGGCCAACTTTCCTTCTTTGTGAAGACTTCCTTATAAACTTCAACAGGAAGTACTGTTTCATAAATACACCACAAAACAACTTTAATAATACAATTATTATATTGTATCATTTTTTTAAATTATTTGCATTTCATTTTCCCTTTAGTCTTTGTGTTTCTTGATAGAAGAGTCTGAATGATTAATTTTGGTATCTCGGCATCTCACACAGTTTCTGATCATAGAATACAGTTATAATATGTGCTTACTGGTTAAAGAGAATAACTTAGCATTATAGGAATGAGGTTTTTTTCTGATTAATGTCTATGTTTTAAAAATTTTGCCTCGTTTTGTGTTATAATTCTTCAATAGAATTGATTCTGTTGATTCAATAGAATAAATACTACTGGTTCAAATTTTTAATAAAAAGAAAACAATGCCATCACAAAAGTGCACTTCTTAGCTGGGTATGGTGGCGGGTGCCTGTAATCCCAGCTACTTGGGAGGCTGAGGCAGGAGAATCGCTTGAACCTGGGAGGGAGAGGTTGCAGTGAGTCAAGATCACGCCACTGTACTCCAGCCTGGGCAACGGAGAGAGACTCCCTCTCAAAAAAAAATGTGTGCTCTAATATGTTTCACGGTCTATTTTATCATAAAATTTTAAGAAGTATTATTACTCACTGATGGAAAGAAGAGGAAATTGCATGAGGTTGTTTGTATGATAGATTAACTAAAAGCTAATAATCTGATTTCCTGATTTATTACATATATTAACCCTGATTTTGCACTTGAGAATTGTTTACCTTTTCTATGTGAGAAAAACTGTCTGGAGCATTAAGTCCAACTGAGTTCATGTGGTAGATTAAAGAGCAGTGAATGTTTTACTCCAGGTAAGTCATGTAATTTGTCCTTTCTTAATCCCCTTTGTAACACAAAAACTCCCCATAATCTTATGAAATATTCTATCTTTTAAGTGACTTACTTTATTCATAGATCTGAAAAAAGTTGTGTGTACATCTGTACATTGCTAAATAAAATTCCACCCCAAAATTAGGTTGACTTGACATGATCATTAAAGATTATCTGGTTCTCTTCCCAATACAGATCAGGTAAAGTATGTACAATATCCTTAATTCTTTTAGTAAAGGAGAATTTGTTCCCATTTTAAACAGAGTTTTACCAATTTCTTTGAAATAAAAATACTAATGCCTCTATGTGGGCAAGGATTTACAGGTAATAATTAAAAGACCTCATAAAGAATATCATGCTAAAAATGTGGTCTATAGTAGAGGTTAGAGTGAAAATCTATAAAGATGCTTTGATAAGCTTGAGTGATAGTTGAACACAAAATGATGAAACTATTTACTAGTCATGAATGATACAGGTAAGAACCTGTTTTTTGTAGAAACTTAAAAAAAAGACCCAGTAGTAGAAATCAATATGAAAGCCTTCTTATAGTTTTACAAATAAAACAAGTTCAATCTCACATTATAGTGTTACCAATGTTTCTTTGAAATGTAATGGTAACACTTGTCACTTAATAGCTGTCCAGAGTGCTAAACAACAGGAAAAAAAGGGTTAATGCAAGACTTATCAGGGAGTTATTCAAAGCCAAGTCGGCAAAAATATGTATAAGAAAATCCAAAGTAAAAAAAAAAAAAATGATTGAACTAAGTTATCTTTGAGGCATTTTCAGTTCAGAAAATACATTAATTTTCCCCATATCTGCATTTCCATAGCTTGCTTCTCTCCTTTCTCAATTACAGTAGAATAAATTTGAAGTCCTTGGATTCCAATCTGGGATCTGCCAAGAGCTAAATAAGGGAATTCGAACAAGTTATTTAGTTTCCATGAATCATGACTTCTCATCAACCGTGAAATAAAAATATCAACACCTATCTTACAAGGTTCCATCAAGACTTAACTAGAAAATGGCTATGAAAATTCTATGTAAACTGTAAATGGGCCCCATCTTTTTTCTCATGTTTTCTCTACTTCTGTTTCTTTCTTTTCTGTCTTTCTATGCCTTTCTTAGTCCTCAATACTTCTACTCTCTGTCATTTGCTCTTCTCTACCTGATGATAGTAAATAAAAATCTGTTCATACCAGTCAAGTTGCCAGGATCCAGTCTCACTCCCAGAGACCACACCTGTTCCTGGGGTATCTGCTGATTCCACAGTGACAATAAACACCATCCTTTCATAAATAAGATCTATGATTGCTGTTTCCTCATAAATCTACTGAGAGCAAGCAGTAAAATGTGGTCCCTTGGAGCATCACCTTGTTGCCATTTTCCCTCTTCTCAGGATAACATCTAACTTCTATGGAGATAAAGAATGACACTTTGGTTACAGAGTTCATGGGCATCCCCCACACAGACGGGCAGAAAATTGTATGCTTTGTCATGTTCATGATCTTCTACCTCTGCATGCTGCTAGGAAATCTGCTCATCCTCTTATCTGTGATGTCTGATTCTCACCTCCACATGCCTATGTATTTCTTAGTTTGTAATCTCTCTGCATTGGACATTGGTTTCTCTTTTGTGAGCACTCCAAAGATACTGGCCAACTTGCTGGTGAGAAGCCAAGTCATCTCCCTCGGAGGTTGTATGTGCCAGGTCTTTTTTCACCACTTCCTAGGCAGTACTGAGTGCCTGCTCTACACGGTAATGGCCAATGATGGTTTTGCCACCATCTGTTACCCACTGTGCTATACCATCATCATGAACTGCCAGGTGTGTGTCCTGCTAGCAGCCGGCACCTGGTTTACTAGCTCCTTTCATGTGACAATTCTCACTACACTGACCTTCCAACTGCCATATTGTAATTCTAATGAGGGGGACTATTTCTTTTGTGACATCTTCCCTGTAGTCAGATTAGCATGTGATGACACCCTTATCATCGAGACAGTGAGCTTCACCAACATTGGTCTTGTGCCCATGACCTGCTTCCTTCCCATCCTTGCCTCCTACATCCGCATCATCACTGCAATCCTAAAGATGCAATCTGCCAAAGGGAGACGCAAGGCGGCATCTACCTGTGGTTCCCACCTCTCCGGGGTCACCCTGTTCTTTGGACCCTATGCCCTCATCTATACCCAGCCATCTTTGAGTGATGTTCTGGTAACCCTACAGATCTTTGTCCATGTAGTCACCCCCATGCTGAACCCCACAATCTATACCCTGAGAAACCAAGATATCAAGGGAGCTCTGAAAAAGCTGGCTGGGGGCCAGATTGTTTCAGAAGGAGGTCACTAGTCCACTTGTGGGTCAAGCTAATTTTTTCCTCCTCATTTGTATATTAAACTAATTTTTAAAAACATCCATCTGTGCCAGTTGTAAAGGTCTTTCTGCCACAAAAAGAGCTGGAAAACAGTTCTTCAAGATACAAACCTGTGACGTCTTCTCCATCTCATGCACAAAGATCAGTAAATACGTTAGACACTGTGGGCCATGTAATCTGTTGCAAGTACTGTTCTCTGCTGTTGCAGCATGAAAATAGCCATAGAAAATACATAAGCAAATGAGTAAGGCCATGTTCTGATGACATTTTATTTACAAAACAGGTTGTGGGGGGCAGGATTTGCCTCACAGACCATATATGGCTGACCCCTGTCATAAAGGCTGGTTGAATTTGATAACCTCTTTTCAAAGGCTGATGATAATGGCTTAAGAGTGGACTTTAATGTGGGCTGGGTCCCACCAGGGCACACACTGAATTATCAGTCAGGGATAGGAGGTGAAAAGGTGGATGTTGAAGGGCACAGAGAGCACACCCAAAGGAAAACTCTGTAGTACTCTGAGGACACGGTGAGAACTGCTCCTCACAGCAGCCCCAGCTGCCTGGGACCTATGGTTATGCCTGCAAATTAATCGCTCCTTGGGTCCTTATACAGAAGTGTCTTGTTTTTCTTAGGTATGAAAGTAAATGCTCACCACTCTTGCTCATAAATATAAACACTTTTCACCTCAGAAGTTACAGTATTCAGCATAACCTAACTCAGAAGTCACTCAGCTTCTCTCTCCTAGTATCAATCATGCCATGAGCATCCTGTTCACAAAATACCAAAGGGCTGGCCATGGTCCTTGGGATATTCTTTTGCCAGGATTAGCAAACTCTGTCACAAGATATAATTATTTTATCTCAGCTGGAAGGGTTCCTATTCAGAGTGAATCTTCTCCTGCTGTTTTTGTTTGGCTGCTCTGTGATTAAACACATAATGTGTGACACTACATATATGTGTATCCATTCTCGTGGCTCATTTGGTGGTGGGGCCAAGCCCTATGAGAGGGCTGAGAGCACAAAAGAATGATGCCAGAAGACATAGAGTGTTAGGTCCTCTTATCTTCACAGAGAAACAAGCTCTGTTGGCAGCAATAGTTCTCTAATAGGGATTGTACACTCAGCATCACCTACACTGGGAGCCTGCCTAGTCCTATGACTACCTGGACTAACTGGGTTATTAGGGTGTTACTGTCAACTAGAGTTGGCCTTAGTCTGACATGATAGGTAGATAGATGGATAGATGGATGGATAGATACAGAGATAGAAAAGAGAGATATGTAGTCTTTTTTTATCTAGCTGTATTGAGCTAACTTCTCCTCTTCCACTTCCCCATGTCCCAACAAAACCCTTTGATGCCAAGCCCCCTGAGAACAAATCTACTGAGTCTCCAGACTCAGTAGATTGGATATCCCCTTTTTGCCATTCCTAAATCTCTGAAATAATGTAAAACGTATACATTATTCTAAAGAAAAGAAACTAAATGTTACAGAACACACAGCAAAATCTCACTAACTACTGATTTTGACCTTTTCTAAAATTATTGTTATTCATCATGGGTGTTTTGGCTTTGGTAGAAATTTGTACCATTACTCTGAAATCAACATTATTTTTTCTGTATTGGCCTGTTTGTAATTTCCTTGCTTTCCCCTGTTGCAGTTATCTGATGGAGGTTTAGAAAAGAATTATGTGTTTGAAATCTTAAGATCTAGTCTGGGGAAGTGACAGAAAGAATGACTGAAAGAGTGACTCAAGAAACATGGTCTGTTTGGAGAAAAAGTAGAGTGAGGAACATGGGCCAATACCAGTGGTCAGGCCAACTTCCCACTGATTTGCTAATCAGCCCTTTACAGGTTTTTGTTGTTAGAGTCCTTTGTCTCTGTTACTTTCATCTCCAGAGGTGATGATACCATTGCCTTACATCTCTCCTCCAACGCACTTTCTTGGATGAGTTTAATGGTGGAAAAATCTAAACACCAGGGTCCAAATCTTCCTAACTTCATACTTTTATGTAAATACCATCTTATTTATCTTTGATATGTAATTATGAAAACTCAGTACAGTTTCATTTTTCCCCACTAACGTTCTGCCCTTGTCACCTTCCCTGCAGGAGGGAATGCTGTTTACCTCTAGGCCACATGTCCTAGGTAGTATTTGGGATGGCATCTGACATGTCCCAGAATTATGGAACTGGAAGAGATCAATGTGTCTTATTAAAATGAGACTCAGAGCATCCAAGGGTAAACACTCAAAGGAATATCTTTAATTAGGAAGTGCTTTTTATTTTTTCAAAATGATCTCAAATTGTTCCCATGTATCTCACTTTCCCCATGCATCTCCATCACATTTTGATTAAAGTTTCTCCCATTCCACAGGTACACACATAGGTTACTACCATCAGGTAACAATCTGACCTGGTTTCGGCAAAACGTTTTTTTTCTGCGGTTTCTTTAGCATATCTGTGAAGGGTTGGGATTTTAGAAAATGATGTTAACAAATAAATAATAAGGGAAACAAAAAGAAAATAGAGAGACTATATAAATATAAAATCAGGCTGGCTTGTGAAGGCAGACATCATCCTCTCAGCAGTGACTGCCTTCCCATGAAAGCGCCTTTCTAGGGAGAAGAAAAATGACACCAGTTGAAGATGTAAAATGTGCTAAGAAACTTTGGGCTGATAAGTATTCAGGAAGGTACTAACTGGTGTGAGATGGTATCTCATTGTGGTTTTGATTTGCATTTCTCTAATGACCAGTGATGATGAGCTTTTTTTCATATGTTTGTTGGCTGCATAAATGTCTCCTTTTGAGAAATGTCTGTTCATATCCTTCACCCACTTTTTGATGGGATTGTTGGGTTTTTTTCTTGTAAATTTGTTTAAGTTCTTTGTAGATTCTAGATATTAGCCCTTTGTCAGTTGGGTAGATTGCCAAAATTTTCTCTCGTTCTGTAGGTTGCTTGTTCACTCTAATGATAGTTTCTTTTGCTGTGCAGAATCTCTTTAGTTTAATTAGATCTCATTTGTCTATTGTGGCTTTTGTTGCCATTGCTTTTGGTATTTTAGTCATGAAGTCCTTGCCTATGCCCATGTCCTGAATGGTGTTTTTAAAAATATTCTGCTAATTTTAACTATATTATAAAAATTTTAATAGAATATTAATGAACACATGTATTTCTTTCAGCCAGTACAGGAAATAGAATATAATCTAGTTGCTCTTTCTATGTATTTCTGTTAGTCCTGCTCTCCCAGAAGTTAATAGCAATCTTAATAGCAAAAAAAAAATTTCTCTTTTATTTTTTACCACCTAAGTATGCATTCCCAAACAATATATTATTTAGTTTTTTTCTGGTTTTGAAATTTGTTTAGGTATGCTCAAACGCTATTTTTTTTCAAACTTGCTTTTGAGATTCATTCATTTTGATGCATATAGCTGTAATTTTACATCTTTATATATTTATTTGGTCTATGGGTGTCAGACATGTGGGTGATTTTTAATTACTGTTATAAACATTCTTCTCCACATCACTAGGGGATCATTTTAAGAGTTTCTCTAAAAAGGTATATTTAGGAGTAGAATGACAAAGAGCTTTCCAAAATGAAATGATTATAACAAATATATTCACACCCTCAGCAGATATTTCATACCTCATTCCATTCTTCAACACTTTATATTGACATCCTTCTTAATATCTGCCAATCTGATGGCATGTAAATGTATATATTACATTATAAAATTTTGGTCCTTGATTACTAATAAAGTTAAGCATCTTCTAATATGTTTAATGACAATTTAGGTTTCCTCCCTTGGAAAATTTATGCTATTTATTAGTTCAGTTTCTTCTGACTATTTGGACTTTTATAAAATTGATTCACAGTAGTTCTGTATGTATTCTGGATACTAATATTTTCTTGTTAAGGTGCCCTGCAAATATATTCTCCTAGTTTGCAGGTTCTCTTTTTATTAGTTTTAAGCCATTTTCTTGATAAAATCATTGGCTTCCTTTAATGTGACTTGTCAAAACTCCTTTTTATAATTAAAGATTGTTGTGTCTTACTTAGAAATAACATGCTACCTTTAATTTGTCTTTGATTTTTTATGTTTTTCTGTGGAAAGGGCCAGGTTTGCCAGTAGCCGTGTTAGTAAGCTTGGAAATAGATCCTTCCCCTGTCAACCCTTCAGAGGAGACCACAGCCCCAGCTGGCAGGTTGACCGTAACCTTGTGAGAGACTCTGATCCAGACGAACTGAGTTAAGCTGTGCCTGGATTTCTGAGTCACAGAAAGTGTGAGATAATAGATGTCTCTAAGCCATAAAAGTTTGGAGTAATTGGTTATGCAGTAACCAATAGAATCTTAAACATACTTTCTATTTTTGAGTCAGTTTTCACAAATTGATAAGCATTTGATAAATTATTTTGACAAATCATTTGAACACCTTGGCAAATGTTGTATTATCTTTCATCTCCTTAATCCAAGTGCTTCTGTCATCCTTTCATTCCTCATGTTGTTTATATGTGCCTTCTCTCTTTTTTTCAAGAACCATTTTTAAAGACATACCTTTATTTTCTGAGTCTTTTCAAACAGCCAAATTTAGCATTGCTGATCTCTTTTCTTTTTGTGTTTTCTCTATTTTATTAATTTAGGTTTTTACACATTTTTCAGTTCATTGACAACTCTGTAACTCTTGTGTTAAATGAAAGAAGAATAATTCCCAGATTACAAATGTCTGGAAATCTCAAAGGGCAAGGTTCTTGACTCCTTTCACAGAAGAGAAAGTCAAGAGTAAGGAAATTTGTCTTGTTCATGGTTGCATAGGCTATTAATTAATGTTTGTTGAATAATACCTTGATATAATTCTGGAAAAAATCATCGGGAGAACCATTCCTGGTTCAGGAAAGTCAGCTGTGCCAATTGATAAGTGTTTGTTAGAGTCTAGGAACAGAAATTCTATTTCCACATCAAAATATTAGAAATCATAGTTTAAAAAGTAGAGAAGAACTTTATTAGTTCTCTAGGGCTGCCATAACAAGACAGAATATCATAGGTGACGGAAACAACAGGAATTTATTTTTTCTCACAGTTCTGCAGACTGTAAAATTCAAGATCAAGGTTCCAGAGGGTTTAGTTTCTGGAGCTCAGAGACGGGGCTGTCTTTTTGCTGTGTTCTCACATGGAGGGGTAGAGGGCGAGAAAAAGACAACAGACGGAGAGAAAAACATAGACAGAGAGAGAGAGCTGATGTCTCTCTTTTTACAAAGATACCAGTTCTGTTGCATCGGGGCTTCACCTTTAGGGTCTCATTTGACTTTAATCACCTTCTAAAAGGCCCCAGTTTCAATACAGTTATATGGGGTGGGTGTGTTAAGAGTTTCAACATGAATTTTGAAGAAACACAATTCAGTTCATGGAATGAACTATGAAGAACTTAAAATATTTAAAATTGGATATTTTCAAAAGTTGAGATACATGGTTGTTATTTCTCATTCCAATAATATAGCCTGAAATTGAGTAACTGGTTTCTACATATGTCCTAGGATTGCGCTATACCATTCACCTTTTTCTCTCTTCCCTAGGCCAACCTTGGAGGTAGAAAATAGAGATTTAGCTCCCTCTTTTTCCTATCAAGCACTGTCACAGGGGGAAACATCCCCCTACTCTGTTTCAACTAGATCATTTACTCACTTCTAATTACTCCCTTTGCTCAACAACCTCCTTGAATAGGACTCATTCAGGAATGGGGTCCCAAAGGCGCCAAGAGTATTTAAATTTCCATGTAGGAGAAAGCAATGTAGCTATCAGTGTCTTGGAAGATATCTTTGCAGAAGACATAGGCACACGCTCCTGCATTTCACTTAGTTGGAGTTTATTTAGCTAAGAAGAAAGCTGTCCAGATCACAGGTGTAGATTCCTAACCTCGAGTATCATATCAAAGGAAAATTTGACTGATTAAATGATCAAACTTCCTCTTTGTAAGTTACGTAAGTGCCATCTTTGCCTCTTTCTTTTCTCTCTCTCTCTCTCTTTCTCTCTTTCTCTTTCTCTCTCTCTCTCTCTTTTTTTTTCTCTCTCTCTCTCTCTTTCTCTCTCTCTCTCTCTCTCTTCTTTCTTTATGGGAGACTGAGTCTCTTTCTGTTGCCCAGGTTGGAGTGAAGTGGTAGGATCTTCACTGCAACCTCCACCTCCTGGGTTCAAGCAATTCTCCTGCCTCTGCCTCCACAGTACCTGAGATTACAGAAGCCCTCACTTCTTTTTTATGCTCCTCTTTTATGCTTTGTGTATCCAGTGGAGAGGAAAATTGGAAGTCCTCGGATCACCTGAGGTCACAAGTTCAAGACCAGCCTGGCCATCATGGTGAAACCCCATCTTTAAAAAAATATATAAAAAATAAAAAATTTAAAAGAAGTGTTCTCAGAGTTCAGGATGAAGAGAGCATGGAGCTACTGGCCACAAGAATAGCTATTATTTGCTTGGTTTATCTTCGAGCCCATTGTGCTGGCCTGTCAGCTCACAAACCCCATTCTTATTATTTCACTTAATCATCAGGTATTTGGACTTGATTTTATATTACTAAAATAACAGAAACTCTAAATGAGACTATACGTGGATACTTTCAGTTTGATTCTTTCTTCAATGTATGACAGCCAGGACATTTTTGGAAGCAGTGTAGATTATATGTAGTGCTTGTCTTGGGTCTGATTGCCTTTTGAAACACAGTGCAGAGCTTCTGGAGTGCAGATGACATGGATGTAAACAAAAGAAATTCTAAATATACAGGGAATGGGGCAAAAGATAAACAGGGAGATGATCAAGCTGCTTTAGGAGATGTGAGAATAAATTACTATCTGATAGGACCACATAAATCCTTGCACAAGATGAGTGATATCCAATTCTTGCCAGGCAATCAGTAAGCTATCTTATTTCCTTCATCAAATGTTTATTGAAAAAGTACTCTGCGAGGCACTGCTCTTTGCACTGAGAATATAATTGTAAACAAAAAAAAATTTAGTCTCTTAGATGTTATATTTGTGTGTTTCTGGGGAGGTAGCTCGAAACATGAGGATGGTTTTCCATTGCTTACTAAGGTGGAGGAGGAACATTTTAAGAGCCTGATGATGTCAAAAGGAAAAACATGGTTAATACCGGGGCAAGGTTTGACAAGGCCAGGAATGCCATGATCCATCACAGATGGATCTATCCAGATGTGGGGGAAACACTAATGTTTAAAAAGAGAAAAAAAGGTTGTAAATGCCTAGTTCTACCATGTACTAGCTGCCTTAATTTAGGAGAGTCACATACCCTTCCTACCGCTCAAATGTAATCTTTTCTATAGATCTACCACAAAGAGTTAAATGAATGAAGGGTTAAATGAATGAAGATCATGTTGTATAAGTATTTTGAATTGCAAATCATAAAGTGCTCAACCTTTATGATTCCCTTAAAAAGCATAGACATATAATCTCACGTTGTCATTAATAATGGCTCACAAATATGATGATTCTCGAACTGTGGCTTACATCTTCAGTGATTGAAAAAAAAGTCCCCAAATGATCCTGATGCTTTATTTCCTTCTACTCTGGGAGGAGGAGCATATGTTTGGGTGGATCCTGCCCTCCCTCTAAAAATCTTTGCTCTAATGTTGCAAGAATATTGTTTTAATAATGGGTGTCTGCATTTCAAATAAGTATAACGAAAATATTTGCTAAGGAAACTTAGTTGGTTAAGGCAGTTACAGCCCAAGGATAATGCCTTGTAACTTGAATCATAAGCAGTCTTTCCACAACTTACAAGCAAATCATAGTCACTTAATTAACAAATGTTATTTCCCCAGTATGTTCACTTAATTGACAGCAAGCCAAGGCATTCTTCCATGACCTCAGCCTCCTCGTCCTCCCCTAGAACTGGCTTCCATGGAGGTGAAGAACTGCTCTGCGGTGACAGAGTTCATCCTTTTGGGAATCCCACACACAGAGGGGCTGGAGATGATACTTTTTGTCTTATTCTTGCCCATCTATGCCTGCACTCTGCTGGGGAATGTGTCTATCCTTGTTGCTGTTATTTCTTCTGCTCGCCTTCACACGCCTATGTATTTCTTCCTGGGAAACTTGTCTGTGTTTGATATGGGTTTCTCTTCAGTGACTTGTCCCAAAATGCTGCTCTACCTGATGGGACTGAGCCGACTCATCTCCTACAAACACTGTGTCTCCCAGCTCTTCTTCTTCCATTTCCTTGGGAGCATTGAGTGCTTCTTGTATACAGTGATGGCCTATGACCGCTTCACTGCCATCTGTTATCCTCTGCAATACACAGTCATCATGAACCCTAGGATCTGTGTGGCCTTGGCTGTGGGCACATGGCTGTTAGGGTGCATTCATTCCAGCATCTTGACTTCCCTCACCTTCACCTTGCCATACTGTGGTCCCAATGAAGTGGATCACTTCTTCTGTGATATTCCAGCACTCTTGCCCTTGGCCTATGCTGACACATCTTGGGCCCAGTGGGTGAGCTTCACCAACGTTGGCCTCGTATCTCTTGTCTGCTTTCTCCTAATTCTTTTATCCTACACTAGAATCACAGTTTCTATCTTGAGTATTCGTACAACCGAAGGCCGTCGCCGAGCCTTCTCCACCTGCAGTGCTCACCTCATTGCCATCCTCTGTGCCTATGGGCCCATCATCACTGTCTACCTGCAGCCTACACCCAACCCCATGCTGGGAACCATGGTACAAATTCTGATGAATCTGGTAGGACCAATGCTGAACCCTTTGATCTACACTTTGAGGAATAAGGAAGTAAAAACAGCCCTGAAAACAATATTGCACAGGGCAGGTCAGATTCCTGTTAGTAAGAGCAGATAAATGGGTACATGACTCTGGAATTCCTTCTGCTTTGACATATGAAATTTCACTTTGGAATCTTCATGTGTGACAACAACTTTGAAATTTTCAGCAGGTGAATAATATGGACCACTATGCTATAATACATTATCTTTTTGCATATTTTATTTTATTGTATTATCTAAGTTCTGCCTCTTCACCTATCTTCAAAGTAATATAGTCTTGGTTATTATTACTTTGCCTTTCTTCTATAGAGAATTCCCTGTCCCTGGAAGGAAGGTCTTTTCTATCATGCCATTTTCTTTTTCACCGCTTTTCTCAATTTACTCCCCTCACACTATTAGTGAGAAAAACCTATGGGGAAAGGCAATAAAAAAGGAGAAAAGAGATTTTAAATAACTGATTAAAAGAATAATATAATTTTAAAAGTATACAGGCTGGGCACGGTGGCTCACACCTATAATCCCAGCACTTTGGGAGGCCAAGGCAGGTGGATCACGAGGTCAAAAGATCAAGACCATCCTGTTCAACATGGTGAAACCCCGTCTCTACTAAAAATACAAAAATTAGCAGGGCATGATGGCTTACGCCTGTAGTCCAAGCTACTTGGGAGGCTGAGGCAGGAGAATTGCTTGAACCCAGGAGGCAGAGGTTGCGGTGAGCCGAGATCATGCCATTGCACTCCAGCCTGGGTAACAAGAGCAAAACTCCATCTCAAAAGTAAATACATAAATAAATAAATAAATAAAACAAAAATATTAACAGACTAAGGACTAGAGTCAAGATGTAGGTTTTTTGTTTTGTTTTGTTCCTTTCTCAAACATCTGGAAAGGGAATTACTTAGAATTTGTCAGCAAGGATGTTCATCCCATATCTGACCTCATGCCTGATTTCTCTGCCTCAAGGTTTTTAGGCAGATCAGATTAGCCCCACTGCCTAAGGAAAGCGAAAAGCATTGTGGCTAGTCTACCAAACTTGAGTCTGTTTCCATCTTGCTACCAGCTACTAATGTGGCAAGTAGTGTGGTAACTATTTAGTAGTTTTATCAGGTCAGGTGAATGGATTGGGCCAATGGCTTTCCAAGCCTGATTCAAGGAGCCCTGAGCCTCCAGTGAATTTATCCTGAGGTTTCCATATTAAATATAGTTAGTGAGAACTTTCTGTTTGCTTATCATATGTGTTAAGTTTTTAGGTAAGATTCCACTGGAAGAAGTTTGAAGCTTCTGGACTTTTTGATCTCTCTGGTACCTTGTAAGGTTAAAAAGCATGATCCCTGTGGTACCGTGCAAGATTAAAAAACATTTTTGTTCTGCCCATAACTTTAAAGGTGTTTCTGCCTTTTCTTTGACACCTGAATCTCAGCCTTACCTCTTAGATGTTCACTTGGGCTTGCTAGACTTGGTAAGCTTCATGGATTATTCCATTACCTGCCAAACAATTCTACTCTTCCAAAAAAATCTGTAAAGAAAATATTTATACTTATATTTGGTCTCAGGCAACCTCCTCACTTTTTGATGTGTATCAAAATTATCTACTTTGACTCAAAAACAGCTACACAGAAGCTTTGTGGAGCCATTGATTAGATCTGAAAACCCCATAGAAGACAGAGATACTTAGCATTTTCCTGGATTCATTGTATGAACTGCCTAGGGTACACATAATTTTATCTCTTTACACCTCTTACCAAAATACTAGGCACCATGTTATCAAAATTCTAACTAGAAAGCTTCCTAATCCACTGTGATGTACGAAAATAAATTCAGCTTCATATTCTCCGTTTTATCCCTTTTTAAAAATCTCCTAAGCATGACACCCACATTGCAAAGTTTCCTTCCAGAATTCTCCATATCCTTGGAACTACCAAGTTTATAATTGTCTTAATAGCCTCTTCACTTATTTGTGCCTCAAATTTCTGTCTTGGATTCAGTAGTATAAACATTGTCATTTTTAGAGGCCTATTTGTCAGATATTATCAGAAATTCTATATAAAATTATCTCATTTATTCCTCAAAACAATCTTTGATATTTGTGCTATTGTTCCCACTTTACCATGAGAGGCCCAGGATATAAAAGCAAGGCTTTTACGCTTAAACACTAAGAAACTGCTTCCAAAATGCTTAGAAATCTTTCCAACTAGGAAGAGATAAGAAACCAAGAGGAAGCACCTGACTTCATCCGTGTCAGCCCAAGAAGCATATTACATCCAAGATAGAGTTATTTTCTCCCACTCTTACAAAGGAAACAGTAACCAAGGGAGTCAATGGTGGGCTTAACTCCAGAACGTAGATGGCAGAGGCCTCAAGTGGGTGAGGCATCTCAGTGCGGCAGAGGCCACACTGAGAAATGATTGGGCATACCAAGAGGGACACAGCAATGGTGACTCAGAAAAGAAGGGCCACACAGGAATAAGCAGTGTCACATCTTCATGTCTTCTTCCAGTAAAAACAGACAAGAGCCATAGATGAAGGCACGGGAACCTTTGTATCACTGAGTATTGCTGGAAGGAGGAGAGGTGACTGAGAATACAAAAATCAGCAAGAGCTTGAAAGAAAGCCCTGTCTCCAAATACCCACCTTATGCCTTCTGTCACCTGTGCTCCACCCCTCTCATTAGGAAGTATCCTGACTAATATAAGGAGATGGCTGTTGACTTTCAGTTACTGATTTCTCACTCAATCTGGGCAATGATCCTTGATCCAGCAGCTCACAATCCTCCCTCTGATCCCCAGTTTTGATATGCATTTAGCCTGTTGAATTCACCTTCTGAGGATTCATAGAAACATCCCAAAAGCTCTGTTATTGGCCAAGGGAAAATCTAACAAAAGATCTCAGAGCCCCTCCTTGCCCCCAAAATGGTTTCAAATGTAACTCAGCATTCCAGAGGAATGGTAATAATGGTACTGCACTTTCCCTTTTCTCTGATATATATGTTTCTTATTAACATTATAAGACAAAGTGAAAAAATAAAGACAAAATATCACATCCAATTTTAAAGTAATGGGAATCCACTATTACAAAATCTCTTTTCTGTAACTGATTCAACTAAACCTGATTTTAATCACAACTTACAAAACTGTTTTGATTCCATTCTCAAACATAGAATCCTTTGAGATTTTAGTTATTTTTAAAGTTTCTTAGTAGTGAATCATTGATTAGTAGCTTGATATTACCAGAGTTAAAACACCTATTTACCATATTTCTTCCAATATACTCTAAAGCTGTGCTTCCTATACAAACCTGTTTGGGATCATTCACAGTCACAGCAGAAAAGCTCGTCTATGTTCTCTGCTGTTCTAACTTGCTTAAGAGGGATTGTTGGGTAGCATTCTATGCTTCAATTTTTCTCTCCTCTGCCTTTCTTAATTAGAAACAACATTTTCCAGGTATTGGACACTTTGTTCCTCTTTTCAGTTAAGCTGTTCGCTCTAGAAAATAAGTAATTAGTTTCACAAAGAAAAGTCAGGTCTAGCACCTCCCAGGCTTTCTCCCATCTTCTCTGCTTCCAAAGAGTCTGAAAATTTTTAAAGTAAAAACAACTTTTATTTCAGGAATATTTACATATTTAACCAAACCATTTATGTAGAAGATATGTTTATTCAATTTATTCAAGAATTTCTTCTCTGAACCCTCAGACTGGGAGACCCTGGGAAACCTGAGGCATGATGGGAGAAACACAGCCCCCAACATTCCCTAGAGCGGATCCAGACCCGGGAGATCACTAATGTTCCCACTATAGCGAGACTCACACGCACACAGCAAGTCGATCTGAACATTTGCATGAAGGAGGCCACTCCATCATGGCAGTCAGAACACGGGTTTCAAAACCGGTTTTTATGCCTGAAATTCTGCCATGAAAGAATGAATTTCCTCTCAAATCTCATATTCTTTCTTCAAAAGTAAATTTTCTGGGAAGTAACAGAATGATAATATCTAGCTCTAGAAAGAGATATTTATAATTGGTAGGAGAAGCAAGAAGGCAGACAAGCAAGTACATAGAAACGTTTTTCTCTACATCAGTTTGGCCACAGGTCAGCACTGATATCCTCAAATCTCTTTCTCATAGACATCCTGGAGAAGTAACTCAGTTAGAATTTATTAAATTCCTGTTTGCAGCAGATACTATTGTTATGCCAAATAGATGAAGATGAATAAGATTCCCATCCTGAAGGAGTCCATCATCTGTTGTTAGAGTCATACGTAATAGATGGTCCATAATAAAACATGATAATAACAGCAGAACACACTTTCTTGGGGTTTACCATGTGCTAGGTATTATTCTCAAGCACTTTACTTTACCTGAATTAACTCATTCGGTCCTCACCATAATCATGTGAAGTATTAGTATTAGTTTTATCTCATTTTATACAGCAGAAAACTGGCACGATAAAAACCCTAGAAGGAAATCTAGGCAAAACTATCCAGGACATAGGAGTAGGCAAGGACTTCATGAACAAAACACCAAAAGCATTGGCAACAAAAGCCAAAATAGACAAATGGGACCTAATCAAACTCCACAGCTTCTGCACGGCAAAAGAAACAGTCACTAGAGTGAATCGGCAACCAACAGAATGGGAAAAAATTTTTGCAGTTTACCCATCTGACAAAGGGCTGATATCCAGAATTTACAAAGAACTCAAACAGATTTACAAGAAAAAAACAAACAAGCCCATTCAAAAGTGGGCAAAGGATATGAACCGACACTTTGTGAAAGAAGACATATATGAGGCCAACAATCATACGAAAAAATGCTCATCGTCACTGGTCATCAGAGAGACACAGAGAAGTTAAGCCAGTAAGTCACAGAGCTAGGATGTTTTGCAGGCTGTCTCTGACAGAGCAGGAGCACCGTCATCTTGGACAAACACCACCATGTTAGGTTCCAGCTCCCTTTCTAACCTCATGCATTTCAAGGAAATCACTTCTTTTCTAAAAAACAAGCAGCCAGAAAGAGCAGACAGTAAAACACAGATAAGACAGTTCAGACACAGAGGGAGGAGGGAAAGTCTCTTGAGTAATCACCAAACTTTACACTCATACAATAGGCCCCAGTAAAACAGTGGGCCCTAATAAGCACATTCCTTTCTCTTTTGATGTACTAAGATAGGGAAGCTAAAATCAGACTCTGGGGGTATGCCTGCAGCTGCAGGAAGATGTAAAGGAACCGACACAAAAACTCTTCCTCCCAGATAAGCAAGACAAAGAGATATAGAAACATTCTGAGCCTGTGAAAAGTTATCCCGCCCTGAGCCCTTAAATACTCTTAGTTTCTAAGGGAGAGTGCTTCTGACCTAATTTGGCCAGAAGACCCTTTCAGGTTTATTCTCAGGTTTATTTTGGAGACTAAACCTGTCTTTGACTGTTGAGCTGCTTTTAATATTTCTTTCTTCCTACTTCAACTCTTAAAATTTCCAGTGATCTTTCTTTTAATAATTTCATTACAACGTCAGCATCATAAATTCAGAGACGCAACGGGAGCACGGAGAAGTGACCGAGTATTTCTGCCTATGGCTGTTTGGGAAGGCTTTGCAGGAAAGGTGGGATGTGAGCCAGGCTGTGAGGAATGCATGGGGAAGAGAGTGAATAAAGATCAGACAGAAGGTGGGAAAGTGCAGAATCAGGAAGAAGGGGACATCTTGTAGAAGCATAGGTGTGTACCAAGCACACTATTTCCAGGGAGAACTGTGTTGGTGTAATAGAAGATGATTGAAGGTGGAAGTGAAAGACAGGAGAGAGGAAGCGGGGGGGGGGGGAGAGAAGGGGATGGTAGAATGGAGCCTAATCAGGATTGGGTTTCTTATCATGAAGTGCCCTCTATGTAGAAAAGCCCATATATCCAGGTTTGCCAGGAGAGTTTATGCATGATTTTTAAATAGTGCTCGCAATTGCAAAAGTGTTCTGATGTGTAAAATAAACTATGTGGACACATAGCGAACTATAAAGCTAAGGAGAACTTGGCAACGAAGGGTCAATGAAAGTGTGGAGGCTGATTATGACTTAGCTCAGCCAAGAGTATTTGCAAGTCCAGCCAGTGCCGAGAATAGGGTGGGCAGAGCGCTCCACCAACAGAATGGAGAGGAATCTGCTCTCTTGTACCCCTGTGGGAAGTACCTACCACTTCACACCCACTGACCTCTTGCACCATCAGATGTAGGCTGTACCAGCTCAGCTACTTACCACCAAGGACTCTTTCTCTTCCATTATCAGAGCTCATGCAGCAACCTCATGGCAGGACTAAGACTGGATCAGAAGAAACTAGAGAAACTCTAGTTTCTCTGCTACGTTCTGTGAATCATACCACTTAAACTTTTTCCAATGTGAGTGAATTATATTTTGTTACATACTATTTGCGATATGTGTAAGACAATACATAACACTGGCTCTTAATTTTCCAAACTTAAATGTCCCTGTGCATGCTAACCTACATATGTATTAGTGATAGTGAGTAAACACTGAAGGATAAGCCACAGGAAAATTGTGGCTTATCCTTTTTAAACACATTCTTTTAAACTATCTCTTTTAAAACACATTCCCAACTCACGATAATCCCCACTGAGGATCAGATAAAGAGATGCTCTGTTTTATCGAGTGGAAAGTTTTATCATATCAGCAAGATGTGGTTGACACTTATGCTCATAAGACACATGACCAGGAGGGTACCGAAAATCTCAAAGTCATCTGCTCACAGATCCCATGATCGTTATCACAGAGCTTCTTTAAACTACCAAATCTCTCATCAGTGGTCTGATCTACTGGTTTATTTCCCAGTCAACTCTGTTAAAATTGTTCTTTTCTAGCATCCTCCAAATAAATAAACATGAAGGCTCTGTCCTCCTAGATTCCATAACACTGCCCAATGACAGCTGGTCTCCCCCTTACATCAGATCTGTTACGTAGTTTTGCTTACTTCTATGCAAAGTTTGCTCTGGGACTTGATCTTTCCCCCAAAATGTCATCTAATGAAATTATTCACTTCATGATTTTTAGTTGTGGCCCAGGCATTGTTCACTTCTCCTTGAGCTCTTGGGCATAATCTCCAGATAAGTCTTAGATTTTATGAAGAAAAATACCTGGATCTAAATCTGCTTGTTATGGGGACAATTATGAGAGTAATTCTACTTACCTCATAGAACTGTTGTAAAAATTACATAAGAAAATATACCATCAATCAACAAGTGGCTAAAGAAAATGTGATATATATAGATACACATGCGCACCGTGGAATACTACTCAGCCACAAAAAGAAATGAAATAATGGCATTCACAGTAACCTGGATGAACTGGAGACTACTATTCTAAGTGAAGTGACTCAGGAATAGAAAACCAAGCATCATATGGGATGTTTCTCACTCACATGTGGGAGCTAAGCTATGAGGACACAAAGGCATAAGAACAATACACTGGCCGGGCACGATGGCTCAAGCCTGTAATCCCAGCATTTTGGGAGGCCTAGGCGGGTGGATCACAAGGTCAAGAGATCAAGACCATCCTGGTCAACATGGTGAAACCCGGTCTTAACTAAAAATACAAAAAATTAGCTGGGCATGGTGGCGCGTGCCTGTAATCCCAGCTACTCAGGAGGCTGAGGCGGGAGAATTGCCTGAACCCAGGAGGCGGAGGTTGCGGTGAGCCGAGATCGCGCCATTGCACTCCAGCCTGGGTAACAAGAGGGAAACTCT